TAGTAGTAGTAGTAGTAGTAGTAGTAGTAGTAGTAGTAGTAGTAGTAGTAGTAGTAGTAGTGTGGTGGCGCCCACACCTCCATAGGCATCAGTGAATTGTGCCAGAGTACATAAGAACGTTGGACAGTACTGGTCTAAAGGATACGATCTGTTCCAGGAAACAAAGTCCTCCCTGTAAGAAGTTCTGCCATGATGCAACCCACTGACCAGATATCCACTGCATACATAAAAGAACATGGAAATAAATACAAGTACATCAGAAAATGTCTCAACCTATCATTAATAATGCAATAATAAACTATTGTCATATTTCTTGTCTTGTGTCATAAAGTGCTTGAAAATAATGACACTTAATGAAGAACACAAATTAGCATGAGTGCCCCTCCCCACATGCACACACACAAAAAGTCAGCCTGATCTGGCCTACAGTGCTATGGCATGAAATATAAAGAAAATTCAAGTTTCTAAAATGGAGTTTCCGAGACATATCGATGAGGTGCAACTGCTGGACAGACAATGCAATGAAGTTGTAAAAACAGCCTGCACAAAAGATAAAGAGGTGATGGCACTGACCATCACTTTCATGGCCATGAAAGTCTCAAATCTCATACACGATTAATCACACTGAAAATCTGAGAAAATATAGATACATGAAGAAAATATAAAATATACAGCTTCAAGGAAATAAGACTTCAAGGGTTAGATCACTAAATTTTTAACCAGTTTTTAACTTCAACTGATGATGGTGGTGGTGGGCTATTGTATGCTTTCAGCATTACAGACTATACAAATAGCAAAATGATAGGTAAACTGAAAAGGATTAGGAATGGAAGCAGTCACAACATAATCCAGCTAAAACTCCAGCATTTGCCTGGAGGGACTAAGGGAAACCATGAAAAACGTCAGCCAGGATAGCTAGTGTTCTGTTCAAGACACAAACTGAGCACCTCTTGAATATACAGAGCATTTCTTCTAGGCCACCCTGTTTGGTAATGGAAGTGGCAACAATGACAACATGTGAATGAAAATAAAACAAGACGGAAATTTGATGTGCCACAATTCACAGGAATTTTGCATTTCTGAATAATGCTGGAAGTGCTGGATGCCAGCAGCATATTTACATTTTATATTAAGCACATATTTGATCCCGGGTCTGGTCAAGTGGGATTTGTGGTGGACAAAGTGGCACTGGGGCAGGTTTTCTCCGAGTACTTCGGTTTCCCTTGCCAATCTTCATTGCACCAATTGCTCCACAATCACCCTCACCAATCATCTGGGGCTGGTACAACAGGCCAGAAGTGGCCACAGTACAAGGGACTTAGTCCCACCCCACCAGCAATAAAAAAAACACAACTTAATTTTATAAAATTTTTTAAAAATGATTTCTTACTAAAAAACATCGAACATAACATATGAGTAAAATACAAACCTCATTAAGATTTATTACATTTAAAGGAAAAGAACAGTGGAAGGAGTCATGGCCTACTTGAAGATAACATCCTTGAGTTCATTTTGACATAGTAAAACCACAAGAAAACTCAAACGAAGTGCTAATGCACTGCCACCTCATGAATATGCACACACACACTTCAGCGTGAAGAGAGAGGAAAAAAAACTGTTATCTACCTGTCTGGTTGTAATGCATCCAGTTTAGCATAATTTCTGGTGCCCTATACCATCGTGTTGCAACATACCCAGTCATCTCATTCTCTGTGGGCCTTGCTAAACCAAAATCCAGAATCTTTAATTCACAGTCTTCATTCACTGCAATATTTGATGGCTTCAAGTCCTGCAATTACACAAGCTCAATACAGCATAATTTTGATGACTGACTGACTTGTCTAAACTGCAAAGAATTACGGGCTAATATTAGTGTGACATGTGAAGCTGCTGTTGGGCAACAGGATGTAGAACAAGTTACCACGAAGACAGACTCTTGATAAACGGTTGGTTGCCAAGTTACGCAACCATGGAACAAGAACGAGGTTACGCAACAATAAGGAAAGTGGTGTTTCTCCATGCTGTGCCGTGCCAAGGCAAGCAAATGTGCACTGGTTGCTACGCAGCATTGCAATAAACATCTCTCGGCAACATTACCAAAGCAATGCCACTGTATACACGGCATCATGCAACAGTGAAGCAAGCTGTGTTTCCTGCCTGTCCGATTGAGGGTTTATAAGAGAGACTGGAATGCCTAAGGAGTCAGTTGAAATGTAGCAGCCACTGAAGACAGTGTTAGCCAGTATTTGGAGTATTCCGCAGAAGAGAAGTCAGTCAGTCAGTCAGTCAGTCAAAACAGTTAGTCAGTGTTAGTCAGTTCACAGAGTGAGTGCAAAGTAGATGCAGGAAGAACTGAACATGTGATGTGTAATATTTAGAGTGATTGCAAGTGACAGTTTCTGTGCGGAGATCTGTTGCTAGGAAACGACTAGTGGAAGAGAATCCTAGTGAGTGTGCAATGGTGAACTGGAGAGTGTAAATCAGCAACAGCGCTGTATTTGAGTGAAACTAAAGAGAGAGTGTGCAACCAAGCTGTTAATAAATCCAATCATCTGAACTAGAACCCGTCATTTCATCACGTGTACCCCTTTCATATGACATATTTGGTGTCAGAAGTTGGCAGCTTGGATAGTATTGGATTCTTCAGCAATGGTTATGACCTGAAACATGACACAATTTGGTTGGAGTTCATTGACTGAAGCGATCATTGGACTAAACACTGAAGTGTGTATTTACAGTGTTGTCCTGCAAAAATGGAACAAATATTGGAAATGCTGAAAGAAATGAAGGCCATGCAGGAAAAGGCAAACGCCAACCAGGTTAAGACAGACACCATTTTGCAGGCCACGCAGAAAAAGGGGGGGACCACCCAAGAAGAAATGAAGGCCAGCCACAAGGAGTTGCTGGCCGATAGGCAGGCCAACATGAAAGCCTGGCAAGAAGAGATGGCCGCCATGCGAAAAAGGATGGATGCATACCAAACATAAACAACAAGTATACCTCCCATCCCACAACATCCTTACACACCCTATCTCTACTTCTCCCCCACTCCCTTCCTTTCCTTGCACCAACACCACAAACAACACAAACATCATATACCACTAAATCAGTTGCAATCTGTCTTCCCACGAGAACAGACATACACACATAAAATCTGGCATTGGTCAAACAGTAAGTAAACCGTACAACCATGATATCAACTCCAAATCAATTCGTAGTTAATCACAATAAACTTAATAGCTATTATTTTCATATCATTTCCAGATAAATACTAAATAATAATGCACTGATACCACAGGCCTCAAAGCAGTTAAACATTCCATATGTGTACAAAGCAAGAATAATACCACTGTATGTCTGTTGGAATATAACAATACAATTGCAACAACAGACTTCATAATATGAAATATTACATGAATAGTTTTTAACCATATTTTTAATTGTACAACTTTCGTTTTTATAACCAGTTTATAATTTTATTGCATTTTTATACTTTGCATTATTATAGTGCAGCATATTTGTCAAGTATCCAGCCCTATTGTACCACCTTATTGAAATGCAGTTCAATAGTTTCTGAGTGTAATAACTATGTATTTGTCTGAAGATGGCTTTAAATGCCGAAACATGTAGCTAAGGTAATACTGACCTCGACCATCTTGTTGTGGTGTTACGACAGATTCTAATAAATATTTTTGTGTGATTTTTATATTAGCAAATAAAAATTACAGCTTTCGGCAATGAGTAACACCATTTCTGGTTAAAACCCTCCAAATAAAATCAGGCTATCAGCAATGCATTTGGTATTTAAATCCTCTATTTTCTTACATGTAATAAAGAGTAACAGCATTTTAAAAGTAAGCAATACATGATAAGAATGACAGATAAATATAATATTAGGATTTAAAATGCCTATTAAAAATGAAATATGAAATAACAAAAAGAAACATTTAAAGTAATGAAGTTATGTACTTTAAAATGCAAAATGAAGGAATAATACACATTTTACCTTAAAATACAAAATGAAAGGATCATATATATGTTTTGTGACAGTTTCAATATCATGTCAGCACAACTTGACAGGAATCAGCAGCAAAGGGTGCTCATACAACAAAACAGGACTGAACAAGATCTCACCATTATTTATTACCTTTTGTCAACTACTTTTATTAAATGTGAAGAAATGCAATTGAAATCAAAATGTCACAGATGTCAGGAATCAATGGTCTCAGAGCTTTGTTGATATTGCACAAGTTAACAGATATTTCTTTAAGGACAGTGATAATTTTGGATAATTAGTTTATTTACAGAAGTTAATGTGAAAAGATAACATTACACCCATATTTTGTTAGTACCTCCTAAATGACTGCGTAAATGCTTTCATGTTGTGAATCCAATGAACTAAGAAGGATATTATGTAATCTTCTGGAATCAGTATGAAGACATAGATCCACATTTCATGTTGATGCTTAGGCAGATGTTCATCATCCCCCACATCAGAATGCTTAAAAATAATCTGTTTCACTAAAGTCAAATTACAGAGAAATTAAGGTGTATTTTGTAAGATTTGAGGCTTTCACTGCTTTCTTCAAGGTGTATTTTATTTATCATTTCAAACTAGAAGCTTATCAGCCAATGAGTACTGGAAAATGCTGTCATTCTGAAGAAGAGAGAAGCAATACATCGACAATTTCACTAAAAATACTTGAAATGTGTACTTCAAACAATACTTCATATTACATATGAACAGTGATTCAAAAGAAGGAATAAAGGCCACTATAAATTTAGAAAGGGAAACCTCTGGCATTCATGAATTTGCTGACATATTTAAGAAATCTCACTACATTTTCAGAACAGAACTCCTCATCTGTGAACTTGTTCGGAATTATATATATACATGATCTTACCCTATGAATTATGCCAGCTGAGTGGATGTATTTGAGACCTCTAAGAATCTGGTAGACAAGAAATTGAACATGATCATCAGATAGTTTCTGTGTCCTCACTATGTTGTTCAGATCTGCACCCATCAAATGTGTTACGAGGTAACTGGAAGAGGGGGAAAATAATTATGCTACCACATTAGCTTTTGTTTCAATAAAATTTCTGCCACAAGGTATGTCCTGCAATATACGTTTTCATTAAACAGTTTAACAGGTTATTTCATAATGAATTCAGATGTTTAAATCATAAAAACATGTCATAGAAAATTCACAGTCGACTTATGACCAACTTCCATTCTGACTGACAGGTCGTTAAGTCGATCTGGTTGTATGTCAGCCATATATTTATTAACAGTATTTTTTAACCTTTCTAATCTTCTTATCATCTTTATAATTTATTTTTAAAAACTTTTACATTTTAATCATCTTTTATTTTCCATTTTTTTTTTGTGGTCGTGAGTGTGGCCGGTCATAAGTCGCATAGGCAGTAAGTCGACGACCAAGTGTATATAGAATGGAAGGTGAAAGATGTGGTACTGTAAGAAAGTTCGGCTGGTAGGACAACATGGAAGAAGACTCGGTAGAAGACATTCAAACTTAGGAAGAGGATTTGAGGACATAAAGAGAAGAGAAAGAAAAGGATGGAAGCTAAAAGATACTCTAAGAAAGTGTGACTGGCAAGATAACAAACAAAATGACTTTGGGCGAGACAAGACAAAATTGGAAATGAATAGTCAGAACATGAGAAGGAATGGAATATTATGTAAAACTGAAAGTACTTAAGAGTATATGACACATAAGACAAGACGATACAGAGACACAGACAAACACAGACACTTATTATTACATTACATTCCATGGATCCAAAGTTAGTCAAAATGACTGTAGGATGTGGAATATGTCATATAAATACAAAACATCCATACAGACCCAATGGAGTTCTCACACAAGAGAAACCAAGAATACACAGTGACTACACACAAGGTTGAGGGCGCGCAGTAGTGTAGTTGGTTGAGGGACTATGCTACAAGCCGGAAGGTTGTGGGTTCAAGTCCCGATGAGGCCACTGGATTTTTTTACCTAATCCTTCCAGCCACACTATGGCCTCTAACAGCCTCTAACAGAAATGAGTACCAGGAATTAATTAAATAATTTTCCTTCAGAGTAGAGCGCGGCCAGCGCTAAGGCTGACAACCTTACCGCCATCTTCAAGCCAAATGTCTAGATAATGTGGGACCCTCAACGTCTCACAACCCTATGGGCCTTCACAGCCTGGTACATGGATAGCTTTACTTCTTTTTACTTTTTTACACACAAGGCTATTTAAAGATACGTAAGTTATTTTCTAGACAGTAGGTATTCATCAACAGAGTAGAATGAATGTGTATTTAAGTATCGTTTCAGTGCTATTTTAAATCGTGCCTTTTCATTCATAAGACCTTTGAGATCAGATGGCAGGTTATTAAAAATGTTGATCCCAGCATAATATGCGCTTTTCTGAAAACATGAGAGTATACCAACTGGTTTATGAAGACAGTGTTTGTGTCATGTTAACACTGTATACATCCACACTCATCCGAAAATGTTATTCATTATTTGTAATGAAGTTTATTAATGAATATATATATTCATTGTGTATATTCACATGGCAAGGTTAAGATGTGTAGTCTCTTAAATAGATCTCTATAGGAATTATGGGATTTGACACCCATCATGATTCTAACAATTTTCTTTTGCAATGTAAATACCTTTTTACTGTCAGATGAATTACCCCAAAAAATTATTCCATACTTCATTAAAGACTGAAAATAAGCAAAATATATTGATCTGAGATTGTCAGCATTAATAATATGTAAAATGAATCTAACTGCATAACATCCTCTACTTAACTTTGGAATCAACTGATTGATATGGTTTTTCCAGTTTAAATGATTATCAATTTGCAAGCCAAGGAATTTTGTGTTTACTCCCTCTTCTATATCTTTATCATTACAGCCTATGTTTAATGGATATTCTGGTGAGTTTTTTGTTATATATTTTATTACATTTGTTTTTTCTAGGTTCAGGGACAACTTGTTTGCAGAAAACCATTTACTCATCTGCAAAAGAACCTTGCTTGATAACATGCAGAAATCATCTAAATTTTTACCAAAATTATAACACTAGTGTCATCTGAAAATATTATAGGTATTGCTGAGGTCCTTAGTGTAGGAGGAATGTCGTTTATATAAATTATGAAAAGCAAAGGCCCCAAAATTGACACCTGTGGAACTCCATGTTTTATTATTCCCCAGTTTGAGTAGGCACTTTGGATTGAATTTGGTGGTTTGATTTCAATCTTTTGTTTTCTATCTGTTAGGTAGGATATGAACCAACTTAACACTGTTCCTTGAAAGCCAAAGAAATGTAATTTAGTTAATAAAATTTCATGATTTACACAATCAAAAGCCTTTGCCAAGTCACAGAATATTCCACCAACATGAATTTTTTTATTAATAGATTTCAACACACTGTCTGTTAACTTAAAGGCTGCATTCTCAATGGAACTTTCTTTCCTAAAGCAAAACTGTTCTGGGACTAGTATATTGTTACTCTGGAAATAATGACTTAACCTATTGTGCATAACTTTTTCAAGTACTTTAGAGATAGTAGTTAGCAGTGAAATTGGCCTGTAGTTTGACATACTAGTCTTGTCGCCTTTTTTGTATAGTGGTCTTACTACTGAAATCATAAGATGATAAGGAAAGATTCCTGTGGATAGCGAGTGATTACAGATGTGGGTTAATGGGCTACTGATAAGAGTTGCACAAACTTTTAAAATTTTACTTGTTATTCCAACATAACCTGAGGAGTTTTTTGTTTTGAGGGAATGTATTATACTTTTTATTTAATATTCAGAATGTACTGAGATGTAAAGTTAAAAACTAGTAAAGGTGTGAAGCGTTGTGCACACCTTGCAACCTTCCATCTGCTAAATTATCGATTTATCAGAAAGGTACTCAATTTATCAGAATTAAGATATTTAATAATCTCCCAATTAACATAAAACATCTGTATGGCAATATCAATCTTTTTAAGAAGACATTACTTCAATTTCTATACCTTCACTCATTTTATAGCATTGATGAATTGTTTAAATATAAAAAATAATCTTTATACTGAATCCAATTGATAAATCCACCTATATAAATACTTCTGTTGTTTACCATAATTTTAAATATCTGTTAAAATTTATTACTCATTTATGCAGATATAAGCATGTAATAAGACCCCATTTGAATTTATTTGTTAGGTTGTTAATTTTGTGACACTTATGTATTAAGTATGACATGTATATTTTCATGTTTAGCTGTAAGTATGCAATAAAAATTTCGTTCTTTAAATTTTAACTATACAAATATGGTGTGTATACAACTTAGACTTGTTTCTTATTTGTGTTCTTACATTTTGATAAATTAGCTTAATTCATATGATTTCACATTAAGGTATGATTTTGGAGTTTCTTGTGAGCTTCTTATTATGACCAGTATACANCAAACCCGCGAAATTTTAAAATTCCCGTTATTTCCTGAACACACTTTTTATTATATTTGTATTTTCTACTGTTGTATTTTGACAATCTGCTTGTTTGTAAAGCAATGATTTTGTATCTGACTGTTCCTATATCCGATGGTTGTTCTCACAACACTGTAAAGATCTTATGGAATATAAAATAAACCATTCAAACCATTGACTTACTGGTATAATTACTGTAGTATTTACTGAGAAATATTCTTATCATCTACAGTCACAATTTTATTGAACATTCTTCTCTCAAGGTTGATTCCATGCGTAGAAAAATTATTTGGGATCATCAATGTGGGTTCCAGTGTAACAGAGCAGATATTCTGTACTCATCAGATACGGGAGGAAAAGGGAAGTACAATAGAACAGTATATCATCTGTATAGATATATAACTCAGGAGAGAGCTGGGATAGCTCAGTCAGTATAGTGACAGGGTAGAGGCAAGCTGGCTGCAAGAGATCTTTCTCTTCTCCACAGCATGCAGATTGACTCTGGGCACCACCTAGCCTCCTAGACAAGGAGTACAGGGGCTCTTTACCTGGATGTCAAGCAGCTATTCAGAATGATCTGGAACAAGATGATGCTTTGTTGCCTTTACTTTCCAACTTTGGTTTATAACTGTGGTTCCCAAATTGTTTGGGCCACCACCTCCTTGGTTCCATAAACTTATCCCCAGTGCCTCCTGCCCTACCCTATAAAAAGCACTTTTCAGAATAGCGGTTTAAGGAAGATAATAACAATGAAACAAGATACCAAATTTAGTCACTACTTCACTGTTAGTAAATTCTTAATGCAATTGATGGGCTTCATGAAGCAATACCAGTCTCCCAGTGTCTGGTCTGATGTCACCTTAATCATAAACAAGCAAACAACTCGCTCAGAGGGGCTCACTTCCAGCGGCCCCCTCGGTAATTCTACTGCCCACAGTGGGCGGTACAGCCCGCTTTGGGAGCTACTGGTTTGGAATATACCATTAGGAATGTCCAATAAGACCCAGAGAGTCTAATATTAAATGGAATACAGCAACTTCTGGTCTATGCTGATGTTAATTTACTGGTCAAAAACATAAATGACATAAAGAAAAACAGAGGCTCTCTGACAGCTAGTAAGGAGATTGGCTGGTCCAGAAGTGAACACAGAGAAATCAAAGTATACACTGACATTCCATCACCAGAATGCAGAACAAAATCAGAGCATAACGACAGCTGTCAGATTCTTTGGAAATGTGGCAAAGCTGAAATATTTGGGAACAGTAAGAAATCAAAAGTATACTCATGAAGAAATTATGAGCAGATTATATTAAGGGAGAGTTTGCTATCATTTTATTCAGAACCTTTTCTCCATACTTCTGTCTAAACACGAACAGACTAAATTATACAGAATTAAAATTTAGTCTGCTCTGTTTTGTAAGGGTATGAACCTTAGTTCCTCACACAGACTGAAGAAGTGTGAGAACAGTGAGCTCAGAAGAGTATCTGGACCTAGAACAAAGGAAATAATAGAAAAATGCATGATGAGGAACTTCTTAATTGTACACCCCAAATATTACAATGGTCAGATCAAGGGGGGTGAGAATGCTGGGGAATGTAGCTTGCATGGGAAAGAAAAAAGTCCATACGAAATTTTGGTAGCAAAACATGAAGGAAAGAGACCAGCCTGAGGGCTTAGTGGGAAGAAAATATTAAAGTGAATCTTGAAGAAAAAAGGTAGGATAGCTTTGACTGGATTAATCTAGCTCATGATGGAGGCCAGCGGCAGGCATTAGTGAACATGTTGGATCTCTGAGTTCCATACAATGCTGGAAATTTGACAAGTCAAAAAAACTATCAACTTCTGAAGAAAAGCTTTGCTCCATTTAGTTAGTCAGTTATAAATGCAAAACCTCATCTCTCATCTTAAGTGAAGAAACACAGAATGAAGGAATTCAAAAACAAGGTGCTGAGGAGAATATTTGGATCTCAAGAGAGAAAAAGTAATGGGAGGTCAAGCAAAGCTGCAGGAGCTACTTCAATAATTTATCTCTTATCAAATGTGTATTGGGGCAAACAAATCAAGGATGATGAGATGAGTGGTGAATGCAGGATGTATGAAAGAGATGGAAATGTTTACAAAATTTTTGGTGGAAATCCAAAAGAGAAGACACCTAGGCACAAATAGGAGGATAATACAAGTATTAAGACGGATCTTTGGAAAACAAGGTGTGAGCATAATAATGAACCTTTGAGTTCCATAAACAGTGGAGAATTCCTGATGAACTGAGCAACTATTAGCTTCTTATGAAGGTGTCTGCTGCATGGACTTAGTTCACTGACTCCGTCAGACAGAAAAGGAAATACTTAGTAAGAACAGTAAGTCAGTTTTGCTTACACTTGTTGAAAATCATCTAGTGAAGTAGAGGGATGAAACACATCCAGAAGACCAATCACCTGGAACAAAATAATGTAACATTACCTGCGGACACAGTGGCCATAATTCACGGTCAGTCTTTTAAGTCTGCGTATGAGAAAAGCACAATTGTCAAATTTGATCTGGAAAATATATGATAAAAATCTAAACTGGAACATAACCCATATTAGTATTTCCATATCAGCAGCTGATACTGTGGGACTGTTGATGCCTGGAGAGACAACTACATAGCAAACTCCTATAACAAATATTTATTATTGCTAGAATGATTATATGGATAAGTTTCTTATAACTTACCCAACAACCAACAAAGCACAGACATTTACTCATGAAATATTACAAGCACCTAATCATAAATGCCTTGTATCAGGATTTTTCTTTCAACTTCCTAAGGTCTCTGACTGTATTATTCATGGTGCATTAATGATGAAACTACCTTATTACAGAATAAATAGAGATGTTAGTAAAGGTTTACTTCACATTTGACAAACAGAAGGCAAGTTCAAAGCATCTGCTACTATTGTACTCATTTTTAATAATGGACTACTTCTATATCTGTGGTGACTTGTTATCACCTGTATGGATCACTTGAAGTACCAATAAATTAAATTGAATTAAAATGATTTTCTAAAAAAACTGCTCTAACAATTTTGCTTCAATTTAAGTACCTTATGAAGATCACATCCCTAAACAAAACTGCATAGATGGTATCTTCAGGAAAATAATAGTATCTGTACTAGAGGTTCAAATATGGAACAACTGATTTTGTCAAAACTGGCTTTGCTGGTCAGATTTCATTGTTGTTCAGTGATCAGTAATCAACAATGATCTATAAGGCAAAAACTGATTTTGTTTCCAAGGTAAAATTAAGGTAAAGTTGTTCCTGTGCTTAAATTATTAAGCACTATGCCATGAAGGCATATGGGAAGTGGATGTATAGTCCCACATATTCTTGTTCCAAGGTAATGCAGTTAAGCTTAATCATAAATGACAGTGTGCATACAATGTATACTAGTTGGGATAGTGTAGTCAGCATAGCAAGCGGCATTGGCCTGCACAATCTTGGGGTTGGAGTTCGAGACCCGGTAGGGTCAAGAATTTTCTCTTCCCCAGATTGTCCAGATCGGCTCTGGGGTTCACCCAACCTCCAATCCAATGGGTACCAGGGGCTCTTTCTCCAGGGGTAAGCGGTTGGAGCGTGAAGATGACAACTCAACTCCAGCTAGTGCCGAGGTCAAGAAAATGTGGATCTATACATCCACTGCCCCATACGCCTTCATGGAGTAGTGCTTAATTAGTTAAGCACAGTGACAACTTTACCTTTTACAAACAATGTATTTACTCTGATTCTATTTTAATTTCATCTGGCTCAAGTGGTAAAGCTTCTGACTTGGGAGATGTCCGGATGAAATCTCAATTGGGATACTGACTATCATCAGGATATCCATGGTTTTTCTCAGAACATCCAAGCAAATGCCTCAACAGTAGCTCACAACATGCCTTGCAACATATCTAGTCCTTTCATATCGACTGTTCCAACATCTTCTTACAGTGGTAGATAACTTCTGCAGTTGACATATCACTAAATAACAAAACTCCATTAATACTTATCGCTAAAGTCAAGTAACTGTAATTTGGTGTGAAATAAATTCAATTTCAAACAAAATATTACAAGATCTGGTTTAATTATGCTCATTTTAGTTTATTAAAAATATCTGGTTTATGTCTGAAATAATGCTCTTCAAATATAAGGAAGGTGGAAGCGGTGTAAATTAAATTACACCTCCCAAGGTTCAAAAAAATCACAAAATGAGGAAAGTATGACTGAAATCACAAATGATAATGTCAATAAATATAATTTATATGACTCAATTCGGTTAGCAGGATTTTTTTATAAATATATAATTTGTAACCTTACTATTACTGTGAACAGAATAGGGAAGTAAACAAACTAAACTAAACTGCAGAAGTCTGTAATTTTGCTATTTTTATTTAATCTCTGTTAGGTGGACGCACCATAGCTCAAGCGGTTAGTCGCTGGCTTCCCACCGCGGCAGCCCAGGTTCGATCCTGGGTCTGGTCAAGTGGGATTTGTGGTGGACAAAGTGGCACTGGGGCAGGTTTTCTCTGAGTACTTTGGTTTCCCTTGCCAGTCTTCATTCCACCAAATTCTCCATCATCATAATCACCTGAGGCAGGCTACAATAGGCCAATCAGTGACTGCAGGGCCGAGGGGACCCAATTAGGACTCCCCCCACTAAGCAAATTAATCTCTATCTGACAGGAACTCATCACAGGCTATTTAATATGGCAGTAAATACTTGTGGGAATTATTGACCACAGTAAGTAATACTGGTTAGGCAGGACAAACTGTCATCAGTACAAAATGGTTGGCATCATTGTCATTACATTTCCCAATCAAACTGACATCTCATCTGATATTAAAAAACAGCTGATGCTGAAAAGGCCTAAATCATGAATCAAGATATGAAAAATCTTTCTGGACTGTTCTAGTATCAAAGACATTAACAAACTGGAAGGTTTAGCCGACTGGATAACAAACCAATATTTTAGCAAAAGCACCTTATTTCGGATTTTCATAACTTGTGCTCTGAGTTTCAGAGATCACATAAGGCTCATACTAAAGATTATTCCATGAAGTTTTATATGTCTATACCTAAGAACACTTGGGTCAATCATTCTGATTTTCAAACTTCAACCTTTGTATAATATTGACCTGGAAATTATTAGGGATTGAAAAAATAACTCCCTTGCCCTGTAACCAGCCACATGTTGGGTTAGAGATAAAACCACCAGCTTAAAGACCAAGGATGTGATAATATGGTGGCTTGTCAGGGTTATGACATGCCTCAGGGGGTGGTAATAGATGAGTATGGCAGAATGATGATTAGCAGGGGAAACCTGAAACAACTCAGAGAAAACCATGTTTCAGTGCCACTTTGTCCATCACAAATCTCACATGAACTCACTGGAAGCTAAACCAACTGCCTGAGCTATGGAACACCTCTATTAAATCAACGTAGCCAAAGGGATAAGAGTATAGCAATTCAGAAAATAACCATACAATTTGTTGCAGGCAAATAAACCTACTTAAACAGTAGATATGCCATTTTATAATAAAAAATACTGACTTTACCATGAACAAAGAAATTTTGAACTCCTTTCTTTTCCTGCATTTTTCAAGTGTAAACTCTAAAAGACCAATCACATTAAATTCCATAACTAAGAAAACTTAATAACATTTTAAAAGGCAAATGTTTCATAAGAGAGACTAAACAAAATTAAAACTTAGCATCAAGCCTTTGCAAGTATACGCCAAATTAGTACAAATATTGTTTTTTGACATTATCCATTGTCCTGTCTTTATCTAAAAGCACCGTCCTGTTTATTTTTCAAAACACAACATTTTGGAGACAGGATTCTGTCTCAGTCTTCAGGTAAAACCTACTCAGTTGGGCTGAATTGATAGAGCTCATCCCAATCTAAAAACGTTGTTCTGAAAAATAAACAGGACGGTGCTTTCAGATAAAAACAGGACAATGCATAATGTCCAGAAACATAATATTTGTACTAATGTACCATCGTCACAAACTTTTAAAACTTATTTACATGCAAAATTATTGAAAATACAAAACACAAATGAAGTACTCAAGAACTGGAAAAACTTTACAAAACAGTATTCATGTATACTGCACTCAAAACATCTCTGAGGGTGCTACATCATGAATGATGCGGGCCATCACTTCATCAGTTACTAGATTCTCTTATCAACACATTCTCACATGACAATATGTTGGAAATCAAAATCACCATACTAAAGATCTCACTGAACACACAGGACTTTCCTTTTGTAAGGTTGTCTACTGAAGGTAATAAGTACCCTCAAAGATGTTTCATACAGATAGTATTTATTGTGACATCTACTACCAATCTTATCACAGAAGTCATGTCCCAAAACATATGTAACAGACTGAACTGACCGATGTTATTCAACAACCAAATTCATTGCAAAAATGTAAAGATCATCCAAATGCAAGGAAAGTACCACTTTAAATATCACAAATGCAATCAGAGACATCTGTTTTTGAAGAATAACTATACCAACACATCATACATGCAAATATTCATAACTGGACACCATACCATAAAAGCATTCCCCAGCTACTTTGCTATTGAACAATAAATGACAACATAAAAGTGGGTCAATTAACATACCAATATAAGACTTACGTTTTCATGGTTCATGTGCTTCAACATGCGCAACTCTCGGTATGTCCGTTTTGCGTGAACAGCTGACTGAAATGGTCGAGCAAGTTTCTTGATAGCCACTTTCACATGCATTTTGGTATCTACAGCAGAGCTAGAGGAAACATATAGATATGGATAATTATTAATCCTAATGCATGAACATTTACAATCAGACTACTGATTAACATAAGTGGAGGGGTCTTTGTAACAGCTCAATACTATTAAGAAAAAGGCCATTTTGTCTTCATAATCTCTGATTCATATGAAAGTAACAAGGAATAAGTCATGTAAAACCAACTGTAACAACTCCCCTACAATATTATGGCATTATTATCTAAAAAATGCTAAAAAACTGAAACAAGAATAGGTTTATTCACGTGATCTTATACATCATAAAAGCTTGAAAATGTATGTTATGAATTTATAAACATGCAACTTGATGATACAACTGGTAAATGGATCCTCATATGATTTCATATTAAGGTATGATTTTGGAGTTTCTTGTGAGGTTCTTATTATGACCAGTATACGTTTTTATTTTCATTTTATTGTTTTTATTGACAAATGTGTTTTACATGTGTGACTTATGTAATTTATTACATGTATACATCTATTATTTTAATAGTAATGCACTTTTTAAATTATGTTTAGTAATTACAATTGCAATAAGCTTCTTGTTTTTGTTTTTTTTTTCTATTGCCTATGTTACTTGACTAGTGTGTGTATTATTATTATTGTTATTATTTTAGTTGTGTGACTTATGTAATTTATTACATGTATACATCTATTATCAAAGGGACTATTTCCACATCTTAGGTTTTTTGCCTGTATAGATATATGGAAAATAAAGGAAATGAATGAATGAATGAATGAATGAATGAATGAATGAACATGTATTATATTTGTATTTTCTACTGTTGTATTTTGACAATCTGCTTGTTTGTAAAGCAATGATTTTTTATCTGACTGTTCCTATATCCGATGGTTGTTCTCACAACATTGTAAAGATCTTATGGAATATAAATAAACCAGTAACCAGTAAACTCAACTTTATAAAGATAACAAAGCTTCTCCTCTTGGAAACATTATTAAAGTATGACTGACTGAGTAAGGAATATATAAGCGTCATCACTAGTCACACTAGATGGAATGTTTAACTTTTCATGATATTGTTATTGTGATGGACCAGAATGAAACAAATCAAATATATGCGTATTCATCCACATGTAATACATAATCCTTTTAGGCCTGATATTAACATAAATAATATTTACTGTTTCTTCCTAACTCAGAGAAAACACAGTCTCCAGTCACTGTTAATACCACGAATCATACGACTCACGAATACACTCTGCGAGCAAAATGCAAATATCTTTAATGTTTATGCTGGTGGTGCCTATGGCAACACTATATTTTAAAGCCTTTAAACAGACAGTTTCCCTTGAGGTTTTAAAAGTGCATGGATACTCACCAAACTTGGCCATAAGCTCCTGAACCAACTGGGGTTAACATCTGATATCGTTGTGGAACTTCCCATTCCGTTCTGTTGATTTCAATCTTATAAAAACTTGGCATTATTGTCTTTTACCGCTAACCTATAATTTGTCAACAAATACAGATATATACAGAAACAAAAGAAATATACTTCACTTCAAAACACAACCAAACAGTACTCCTTCCATTTTCTACAACCCACGGATCACCAGTACATCGAATGCATCGAATGAATAAAATTAGTGGATCTGAACATTTAAAACGTTAACAACAGTGCACATCACCTTTTCTATAGGTCTAGATAATCAATGATGGTAGAAACAATTCAAATATTTACATATACACGAGCCAATTTTGGATTTTATAACATATTTCACAACTTAATATTCAATTTAAACCCAACTTCCATGCTCAATAACACAATTTATTGGATATCAATGAACTTTAACACAGTTTTATTAAGCGTAAAAGATATTTTGTACTACAAAAGTAATTTCCCCTGATAACGTTGGCTACATTGTAAGTGCACGCCTGGTATTAATCCGTATATAGAAGCGCAAGGTTGTGTCGTGCCGTTTTAGTGTTAAGTAGTCGAAAACGTTTCTATTAGTCTAGAATCTTCTGAAATTATGTTCGGCGGAGGAGCAGCACCAATTCTAGTTTTGAGTCAAAATACGAAACGTGATTCCGGCAGGAAAGTTCAACTAGAAAACATAGCAGCCGGAAAAGCCATCGCCGATGTAATAAGAACGTGTCTCGGTCCCCAGGCTATGCTGAAGATGCTGATGGATCCATCGGGTGGTATTGTAATGACAAACGATGGAAATGCAATTCTGCGTGAAATTACTGTTCAGCATCCGGCAGGTAAATCAATGATCGAGATAGCTCGCACCCAGGATGAGGAAGTTGGCGATGGAACTACATCTGTAATTGTATTGGCTGGTGAAATGCTGGGAGTCGCAGAGCAGTTTTTAACCCAACAGATGCATCCGACAGTAATCATCAGAGCTTACCGCCAGGCACTGGAGGACGCAGTTACTCTGCTACAAGATAACATCAGCATTGCCTTGGATCTTAATGACCGTGTGAAACTGCTGGAAGTGATTAAGTCTTGTGTTGGGACAAAGTTCATTGGACGGTGGTCAGATCTGGCATGTTCTATCGCTCTGGATGCCGTTAAGACGGTGATGCTAGAAGAAAATGGCCATCGTGAGATAGACATTAAGAGATATGCAAAGGTGGAGAAGGTACCAGGAGGGAGTATTGAAGAATCAAGTGTGCTGCGTGGTGTGATGGTGAGCAAAGATGTGACACATCCCAAGATGCGACGGTACATTAAGAACCCACGTATTGTCCTTCTGGATTGCACCTTGGAATACAAGAAGGGAGAGAGTCAAACAAATGTTGAAATTCTGAAAGAATCGGACTTCACCCGTATTTTGCAGTTGGAGGAAGAACATATTCAGAAAATATGTGAGGAAGTGATTGCAGTGAAACCTGATGTAGTCTTCACAGAGAAAGGTGTTTCAGATTTGGCACAGCACTTCCTTCTGAAAGCAGGGATCACAGCTATACGCCGTGTCCGCAAAACAGACAACAACCGCATTGCTCGGGCTTGTGGAGCAACTATTGTGAACCGTACTGAGGAGCTGAAAGAAGAGGATGTGGGCACTGGAGCTGGACTCTTTGAAATCAGGAAGCTTGGTGATGAGTATTTCTGTTTCATCACAGAGTGTAAGAATCCCAAAGCTTGCACAATACTATTGCGTGGGGCCAGCAAGGACATGCTCAATGAAGCAGAAAGAAACCTGCAAGATGCTCTGCATGTTGCTAGGAACATTCTGATAGAACCAAAACTGGTGCCTGGAGGAGGAGCTGTTGAGATGGCTGTGGCACAGATGTTGGCTGAGAAGGGGAAAACAGTGCAGGGCATTGGTCAGTGGCCATACCGCGCTGTTGCTGAGGCTTTGGAGATCATTCCCCGTACGCTTATCCAGAATTGCGGTGCAAATACAGTTCGTACACTGACAGCTTTACGGGCTAAACATGCTACTGGTGGAAAAACCTGGGGAATCAATGGCGAAACCGGTGAACTTGCAGATATGTGTGCACTTGGCATATGGGAACCATTATCGGTTAAACTTCAAACATACAAGACTGCTGTTGAAACAGCCATCTTACTGTTGAGGATTGATGATATTGTTTCAGGCTCAAAGAAGAAAGATAAAGAAGGCGAAACCAGAACTGCACAACCAACTGAGGAATCGGTGAAAGAATAAGTGCTTCACAGCTGATACTTTGCATTTTACATTTGAAACGGGTTGGCCGTCATCTTCATTGCTTATTATTCTTAATTTCATTATATGAACATCTTGTGGTTTAATATTTGTTACTTTCTATTAATGTTTAGTTTTTTGTTTATTGTAATAATTAAACACTAATTAACTTTCCATCATTCACAATATAATCATAATAGAGACAGTCATAAAACAGCAATACATGAAAGTGATAATTCATTTGCTTTAGATTCTGATGGAAAGAATTGAATTTTCCTTGAAGCATTTAACTATGGCTTTGCACTGCAGAATAACCTTTGTATAATCTGCACTTCTTTTTTTTTTTACCATGTAATAAATTCAGAGAAACAAAATAAATTGTTTTTGACAATGAAGAATATAAAAATATTTCTCTTTTAAGAAACCAACCAAAGGTTTTCACTGTATGTGAAAATACTTGCTTTGCGGAGACAACAGTATGAACTAAGCAAATTTTACCTGACCAAACAAAAAAGGAATACCAAATTCTAAGATCATAACTATGACTAGTTTGGTTTAAACAAGTCACTACATGTCAAACCAGCGATTTAATAAATATTTGGCAAGGGTGTTGGGTATGGTAAGTGATGGGCATGACATTTTTTAACTTCCTGTTGCCATTAATTTCAGAGATTCAGCATGAAATTTGCATCGTGAAATACAGCGGTAATGGGGCTGTGCTGTAGTACATACTTCTTTGTTGGGGTCATGCATTCACATCATATTTATATTTGTTTTTCTTGGGAGTGAGTAAGAAGGCTGGTGGCTGTTCTGTCCTTGGAATCTATCATCACAGACTTAAGAGCTACAGTAACACAAATCCAGTGGTACAATACAAACTTTCATCAGTTGTCTGAGAGGTATGACCTTATGTCACTTTACTTGAAAACTAGGTATGTAAGAAGTAGAGCAGAATGCATCACATATTTATAGTATTTCTATCTTTTAAGTTTTTGTACTAATTTACATTTAAAACCCAAGAACTTGTCTTTCAGTAGGAAATTTTTTTGTTACTTGAATTCATATTTTATATCTGAAAAGTTTTTTCCAACACACCAACCTGATTTCATCTTCAGAACATCCTCAAGCCCTGAGAGATCAGCAACATTGAATTATGGTTAGGAAACAGATATGAACATACTGGCTTCAGTGGACAAAGTATAAGCATATGAAATAGAAACTAAAAAACTAATGTGGTTGAGTTACTAGCCTGGAGCAAAATATACATACAAGGGGGGGGGGTGTTCCAAGATATATTTCTTCATAACATACCTTAAGTGAAAAGTCAGCTTGGAGAAAAGTATTACTTGTGACACTGTGTACAGTATCCAAGATATGAAGGTGTTTCATATGTGAACTGGCATCCTTGAAATATAACTGTCCTCACTTTTCCAAAGCAAAGTTGTCCCAGAACTATCTTTACTCTAAGAATGGCTTTGTTAAATTCATGTGAATGACTGTTGTTTGTGATGGGGGAGATTTCTCACTGTGTCACAGCAGTCTTGAAAGCAGTATAGCAACTCGTACACCTGCATTATCTCTGAACTGTGTTAACCCTTTGACGCGGTAATTTAAATTCCGCGGCTGCGTCTCCTGCGGTAATATATTCAGCCGGCCATTTAAATTTTGCTCGAAAATGATTTATTCATCATTGTTCTTAAATTCTATGAGATAGGAACATGAAACTTTCACTAAAATGATCTTAAAAGGTGGTTTTATAACCTTACCTTATAATATGAGCGCCCTTTATATCTTCAATGGAAGCAGGTTTTTTAGTATTTGAGCAGTGAATGGTACGCCTTGAAGCATGAAACTTTCACTAAAATGATCTTAAAAGATGGTTTTTATAACCTTACCTTATAATATGAGCGCCC